TTTCCTGGGGATGGAAACAGCACCCATCATTGACTCATTTCCTGGCCATGTTAACATTTTCAGACTCTCCTCCACCCTTGCCCAGCCTCCCATCTTCTCACAGGATCCTCTCATGTGCTTCAGAAAGAAATACTCAATGCTTTTGACAAAATGTGTGTGAAGCTGCCAAAGTCCTTGTCAGAAGAGTGCCAGGAGGTGGTGGACATGTATGGTAGCTCCATTCTGTCCATCCTGTTGCAGGAGGTCAGCCCCGAGGTGGCATGCAACATGCTGCACCTCTGCTCCAGCACGTGGCTGCCTGCGCTGACCGGCGAGGGCTGGGCGTGGTGCGGGAGAGGATGGTGCCCCTCTTGGGTCAGGGAGGGCCCTGACAGCACTGAGCCCACCACCCTCTCGTGTAGTTCACTTGACTCAGCCGAAGGACGGTGGCTTCTGCGAGGTGTGCAAGAAACTGGTGGGTTATTTGGATCGCAACCTGGAGAAAAACAGCACCAAGGAAGAGATCCTGCCTGCTCTTGAGAAAGGCTGCAGCTTCTTTCCCGACCCTTACCAGAAGCAGGTATACCCGGGCTGGGCTATGGTAGGCCAGCATGTCAGAACCTGATGCCATGGCTGGGGTACATTTTCATAGAAAACCAGCTGTCTCTGCCTCCAGCCATGGAGTCCAATGAAGTTTTACTTGGAGGTGATTCATTGGCTTAAGATGAGCCACTGGGGGAAGCAACCTGAAGTAGAGAGGCCAAATGTAGGTAGCGAGTCTGGGAAGGGAGGCCCCAGGACCCATGGGGCTGGAAATGCCAGGAGCTCTCAGGGAAGAGTATATCCAGGACCTACCTGGCCTTTTGCGCCCCACTGTGCTCAGACACCTCCAGAGCTGACCTGTGTCCCTGCTTTCCTTTACAGCATGATCAGTTTGTGGCAGAGCCCATGCTGATTGAGATCCTGGTGGAGGTGATGGACCCTTCCTTCTTGTGCATGGTGAGGCTTACTGGGTGGTGTGGGTCCTCTTGGGCAGCTGTAACCTGGGGGGCTACAGATACCTGGAAGAGTTGCTCTGAGACTTGGCCGTGGGGTGGAGTCTCTGTGTTCTGCTGTGGGAGAACAGGGAAGGCAGGGAGCAAGCCCCCAAGCCCCATCGCTTTCCTCAGCAACCCTGATGTTCTGAAAGAGTGTGGTAGATACAGCTCAGATACCAGCTCCTTCTGGAACCTGTGATCTTAGTTTTGAAAGAGATATGTTGGGCAGCTTTCATTCTCCCCCTTTCTTTTTTTCCTTTTCTCACCATATAGAAAATTGGTGCCCGCCCCTCAGCCCATAAGCTCTTGTTGGGAACTGAGAAGTGTGTATGGGACCCAAGCTACTGGTGCCGGAACACAAAGACAGCAGCCCAGTGCAATGAGTGTAGCTCAGCAGGCCGCGCCACCAGCCTGTCTCACCCTGGGGCAGCCTGTGTGAGAATCCTGCTTTAGTGGCAACTCAGTGGTCAGCTCTCCACTCTGCTTTTATGTTGTTGGAAAACTGAGGCTCAGAGAGGTGGCTAGGCTTACTCATAGTCCCCCAGAAAAGGCCGGGTGAACTATACTCTTGGAATGAAGGGTGGGGTAGATATTTTTTCAGTATTTTTTGCTTCTGCTTTGTTGTTTTTGTTTTCATTTCCCTTGTGACAGTGTCAGACTTGTACAGTGTCACTCCAAGGACTGCACAAGTTCTGTTGGATTCACTGCCCAGACCCTGTTCCCCAGGAACATGTTTGTCCTGGCTGGAGCCAGGCCTGAGTTTCACTCAAGGCCCTGAGAGCTGGCCCCTGCCCAGCTGCCCCAGGGCACTGTGGCCCTGGACTGGCCTGGCAGCCCCCAGCTGGGTGGCCTGTGCTGCTTCCCTGGGTGGGGATGTTTGGTCCAGTCCCTGTTGCTTAATATTGCTTTGCACAACTTTTCCTTCCTCACTGGGCTTCCTTGTGACCATGTCAGTGGCAGTTGTGTTATCTCAGACCACTGCAGGGGGCCACCATTCTGGCCACATCCAGCTCTTTCCTTCAGCTAGGCACCAACCCATCTCCACTGCCAGCCCCATCCCACAACTGGTTCTGCTGCTGTCCTGGGAAAATGTGGGCCCTGCTTCTCAAGGCCTGAGCTGGTGTGTAGCCCAACTCAGGCAAGGAGGTTCTGCCTGGGGATCAGTGTGCAGTCTGCTAGCAGGATGCTGAGTGCCAGGTGTTAAGTAGATGAAGGGTCCTGAGCCCTGCCTGCATGAGTGCTCATCTGCAAGACTACTGCAGGCATCTGCTGCCCTGGACTAGTGTCTTAGAAGTCCCCAAAACTCTGGGCCATGCGTGGTGGCTCACACCTGTAATTCCGGCACTTTGGGAGGCTGAGGTGGGCAGATCACAAGGTCAGGAGTTCGAGACCAGCCTGACCAATGTGGTGAAACCCCGTCTCTACTAAAAATACAAAAATTAGCCAGGTGTAGTGGTATGCACCTATAATCCCAGCTACTCAGGAGGCTGAGGCAGGATAATCGCTTGAACCCGGGAGGCAGAGATTGCAGTGAGCTGGGATCACACCACTGCACTCCAACCTGGGTGACAGAGAGAGACTCCATTTCAAAAAAAAAGAAAGAAGTTCCCAAAACTCTGGTGGCCACATGTTCCTTGCATTTAAGTGAGATCCTGTCCTGGGTCTTGAGCATGTGGTGCCATCTGGCTGACCTAGGACAAGAGAACAGGTCCCGTTTTTGGGTGATATCTGATACACTGATGGGCCAGGAATGGAGTTTGTCCTCTAAGGACTAAACCCAGCTTCCTCTCTTCCTTTGCAGGCTGTTGAGCATTGCAAATGCCACGTGTGGAACTAGGAGGAGGAATAGTTTATCTTGCAGAAATTGCAGCACTCATTTTTTTCTACTTGTGTGTCTGGGGGAATGAATGCATAGATCTGTTTCCCTTGCTATAAAAATAGGGCTCCCCACCTGCCCCATGTCTGTGTCCTTTATTGTGGCGTTGCTGTCTGCAAGGAAGGCCCTCACCCCTGGCAGACAGAGCTGCTTCAGTGCCCCCTTTCTCTCTGCTAGACAGATGGTGATGCACTGGAGGCCTTTGAGCTTGCCCTTGCATGGCACCTGCCAGAGCGGGAGAGAGCTTTGCTGGCCTGAGCCACAGCTTCTTGACAGGAGGCCACCGACCCTCTTGGTTGGGGCCTTGTTCTGACTGAGCTCTGACATGTGCTTAGGCACTGATGGGTCTGGGCTTCTGAGGTAGCCTCCTGCCCTGATCAGGGACCCTCTCCCTTTCCTGGACCTCTCAGCTATACAAAGCAGCAAAACAAAGGCAGTTTTATCTGAAAGATTAGAAGCCCAGAATAATTAGGCTTTTTCAATAATGTAATTCCCACTGTAACAGCACAGGGATTCTGGAAGCAGCTGCTGGTGGCTCGGGACATCAGTGGATCCAAGGGTCCTCTGTCCCTGGGTCAACTGTGATTTGGCTTTCCCATGTCTTTCCTGGTGATGCCTTGCTCAGGGTTCTGTGGGTTTGGGTGGGAAGGAGGCCATCTGCCTGAATGTGACCTGCGAGCTCTCAGAAGGCCCCGTGGGCCTGGCTTCTGTGAGTGTGTGGACAGTGGTGGCTGCGCTGTTCCTGCTTGTGTTGCCTGCATGTCCCTGGCTGCTGAGGGGCTGCTTCAGTCTGTACCCCGCCTCCCATCTCATAGATGCTCCTTTTGACCTTTCTTTTCAAATTAATGTGGGTGGCGAGCTCCTAGGCCTCTGGCTTCCTGGTGGAGGGCAGCATGCCAAGGGGGTCTGCCGGGTGTGGGGTGGGTGCTGTCTGCAGGCCACTTAGGCACCCACACTTCTGTCCACTTCTGGTTGCCAGGAGACAGCAAGCAAAGCTGGTAGGACATGCAGTTACTAGTAAACAGATTTCTTGATTTTTGTTTTGCACTAAAGTTTCTATGATTTAATGATAAAATTCTGTTAACCAGATCTGGTCCTAAGTGTTTCTGTCACTCTTCAGCCAGAAGAGTTTGTTCATCTCTGATTAACTCTGAGCCCAAGACACCTTTGGTGCCCAGCACTCCCATGAACCCTCTTGGCCAGAGAACAAAAGCAAAGTGGACAAAATAAAATTCCACTCGTTCCTCCCCAAGACTCAGGGCAAGCAGCAGGTCATGCACACCTGAAGCTTGGCCCTGCCCTTCACCTCCCCCTGTCCCCACTCCCCAGAGGCCAGAGTCAGAGCACATTGCCAGTTCCTTGAGAGCTGCCTTGCTTTTTAAACAGACCATTCCAGAAACTCATGTGAGTACCACTTAAACAAAACCAAGGGGAAACTATTGAGGGAATAACTTAATTTTTAAAAAGGAATACACATGAACACTCTACATTCAAAACCCTAGGGAACGTCAGTCACTTCTCTTTATGAGCTGGGCACATTTGGGAACCAGTGAAATGGAAAGAATGCTTATTCATTGACATTGACCTTCTTATCCTCGTGGGGATGCTGCCTCCACCTGGACATCCAGCAGGGATATGGTGGAAATGCAGGGGACTTGGACTAAAGTCAGGGGTGTCCAGCCAGCAGGGGATGCCCACGCTGGGCCTCCCTTGCACCTGCTCAGCTGGAGGGGATGATGCTTGCTGGGTGGAGCCAGGAGGGAGGAGGGCCTGCTTGGCCTCTTTCAGCTCAGCCTGAGCCCAGCTGGTCCCCAGACTCCTGGGCCCCCATGACCCTCCTTACCTTGTCCCTAGATACTTAGCATTTTTGTTTGTTTTTTTTTATAAAAATAACAGATTGTATGAAGGTAGAGGTCAGACACTGAGTGAGTGTCTGACAAAAGTGGGATCTGAACAGCTGATGTGGGCCACCAGGGCCAAGCCAAGGTTGTCCCCCATGGCTGGCCTTGAGAGGGACCCCCTGACCGGCTCTGTCCCTGCCCTTGCTCCCACCCAGGGAGGGGGCAGTGGGAGGGCACCGCTCACACTCACAATGCTTCCCTGTCTAGTCACAGCTCCGTGATCTCCAGGGGGCTCTCCATGATCACATCATGAAGTTTGTGCAGGGGTATGGATTTGGCGGACTCTGTGAGGGTGTTGTACCCCAAGGCAGTGGTCTCAGCAGAGGTCAGCATCTCCAGCGAGCGGCCCAGGCCCTTCTGGTCATCCTCGGGCAGGCTGTTGAGATTGGTGGCCAGCAGTGTGCCCGTGCTGCCGTTCACCACGTGGATCCCATAGGGCCCCTCGAGCTCCCCTGGCGGCTTGTGGCAGAAGCGCAGGCACGCCTCCCCTGGGCTGTGGTGCCCTGGCTTCTCCTCCAGCTCAGTCTGGATCAGCTGCAGGAAGAGGCCGGGACCCCCACATGCTCAGGGCTGTGCCGAAGGGATTAGCATGTGGAGAGCCCCAGAGACCCACTGGCTATGTGGCTGAACTCTGGGCTCCTACCGCAGCAGGCTTGTCAGACTGTTTCTCAAACTGCATGCAAAGGGGAACCATGAATGCTTAAGGTGCTGCAAATGGGTTCTCGGGAAGATAGACTTCTTGTGAAAATTGTGTGTGTGTGTGTGTGTGTGTGTGTGTGTGTGTGTGTGTGTGTGTGTTTTGTATATTTTTGAGACAGAGTCTGCCTCTGCCACCTAGGCTGGGGTGCAGTGGCATGACTTCAGTTCACTACAATCTCTGTCTCCTGAGTTTAAACCATTCTACTGCCTCAGCCCCCCAAGTAGCTAGAAATACAGGCACACCCTGTTGGCCAGGCTGGTCTGGAACCTCTGACCTCAAGTGATCTACCTGCCTTGGCCTCTCAAAGTTCTGGGATTACAGGCATGAGCCACAGCACCTGGCCTTTATTTATTTATTTATTTATTTATTTATTTATTTATTTATTTAGAGACACGGTTTCTCTCTGTTGCCCAGACTAAAATACAGCAACATAATCATAGCTCACTGCAGCCTCAAACTCCTGGGCTCAAGCGATCCTCCCACTTCACCTTCCCAAGTAGCTGGGACTATGGGCGTGTGCCATCACACCCAGCTGAGAATCTTTAATTTTATATATTAACTTTGGTGCCCTATAAAAATCCTGTAATACAACTGTGGTATCTGGGTTTGTTGCCAAGTTGGCCTCAAGCAGATCACCTCTAATTGTGTCCAGGCAGGAAGTGTCAACAGGATAAGCTGCAGAAGATAAGTAGGTGGGGTGGAGACTCGAAATTGACACTCTTGTCCTGCATGAGGCTATTCCACTTTAGCTTATTCCTGTTGAGAATGTGGGCAGAGCTGGAAATTCATTTTCAGGTAAAGTCTGACTTTTGTAAGTGTTGACGTAATCACTACAGCAAACATATGTAGGCCTATTTGACCCTGATGGCCTCAGTTTCTCTTTTTCTTTCTTTTTTTTTTTTTTTTTTTTTTTTTTTTTTTTTTTTTTTTTTTGAGACAGAGTCTCATTTTGTCACCCAGTGGAGTGCAGTGGCATGGTCTCAGTTCATTGCAACCTCTACCTCCTGAGTTCCAGTGATTCTCTTGCCTCAGCCTCCCAAGTAGCTGGGATTACAGGTAGGTACAACCACGCCAAGCTAACGTTTTGTATTTTTAGTAGAGATGGGGTTTCACCATGTTGGCCAGGCTGCTCTTGAATTCCTGGCCTCAAGTGATCCACCCAGCCTCCCAAACTGCTGGAATTATAGGCATGAGCCACCGTACCTGGTTTCTTAAAGTGACAGCACCTCCAAAGGTATGTTCTTGAGGTCTTTCTCTAACCTGAGAAATATTGCCTCAAAGCCCACCCCATTTCTGTGAAAGCCTCCAAGAGCCCAGAAAGAAGAGCCTGCTGTCTGACTTCCTGGCCTCCACCCATTGCTGTCTTTGGTCCTGGCTGCAGAGCTGCACAGACACAGAGGAGGATTGCAAGAAAGAGAGCATCCCCAGGCTGGGGCATAGCATACAACTCCCGGCCACCTGACCAGCTACCTCAGAGATGGAGGAGTGACAGGAGGAGGCTTCTTGCACCATCTGCTGTGCAAAGAGCTTTTTGAGCTGCAGGTAATTCTCCAGGATCACTTTCAGCAGTGAGCCCTGGGGGAGAGAAAGGGTTAACCCCCACCAAGGCCCTCCCCTGCCTGCCACACCCCTCCCCTCACCCACTCCCTCTGGGAGTCCTGGGTACATAGACATCTGATCCTGGTGATCCTAGGGGAGAGGATCAGCAGCAGAGCCTGGAGATAGTGGTCAGCCCAGACACACGTGGACTCACTCCTGAGCCCTGCCCTCAAGGCCACTGCAGGCTGCAGCAGCTCCCCATCAGCCCTGGTGTTCTCACCCCAGTGGTGGGTGGGTCTAGCTGAGCCTGGAGGTTTCCACTGCCCTGTGTTCTGTGGAGTGGGGTCCAACCTCAGCCAGGGGACTGGGTGCAGAGCCCACAGGGAAGGCTCACCTTGATGGGCCCCTCCCAAATGATCTGGCCCAGCTTGGCAATGTTGTCATACTCCTAGATGGTGGCCCACAGGTATCAGTTATCATCAGGCTTGACAGCTGCTGGCTCATGCCCAAAAGTTCCCTGGGGAGAGGGGACGTTAGCTGGAGCAGAGGCAGGCCCCACACACATGCACAAGGCAGGGGCCACTCCTGAAAGAACCCAGCTCCTGGGCCAGAGTTCACAAAGACCCAGCGCCTCCACCCCTGCCCCTGTGATGCCTGCCCACCCCTGGCCTGGGGGCTCATGTGAGTGCGCGTGGGGCTGTTCCACAGGTCGGCGATCTTGCTGAGGTTCTCCGGCAGGTCATCCTCATGCTCCACCTGGGTGGGCACCTCCAGTTTCTGACAGAAGGGATCCAGCCACATGGGATTGGCTCTGCAGTTGGGGAGGGAAAGGGGTAGGGAGGGAGGGAAGGCTCGAGTAGACAGGTGCTCTCCCAGCTTCACCCCACACCCTGCCTGCTTCCCTGGCCCAGGTAGTGCCTTTCACTGGCTGGGGTGTGAGGCCCTGGCACCTGTGGTGCGTGTTCCCTCCCTAGCATCCCACTGGAACCAGGACCACATGTCACTCTGGATTACCTTTGGTGCAGAGTCTTCACCCTGTACCCACCGCCCAAAGTCTGCACCCCTGAAACTTGAGGCCTATCAGGGTAGAGAGCCCCTCTCAGCCAAGCGGTTTCTGAGGGTGGAGGGAGGGTGGCCTGCCCACCAGGGGGCACCCACAGCCCGAGTTTCAGCCACCCCAGTGCTGGGAGATGGCAGCTCTCCAACAGCTGGGTCTTGGCAGGGCTCCCTGGAGGGGATGAGGCAGGGCAGGACACCACTCACCAGTCAAAGGAGTATATGTTGGTGTTAGGCATGTCCATGATGTCGATGAAGCCATGATTCCCTGCAGGGAGAACGGGTGGGGCATGGAGAGGAGGGGAATAACCGATGGTGGGGGTGCTGTTGGGGGATGAGGGAGGGTAATGTGTGGGGGTGTGGTCCTGGGCCCAATGCAGGGCCTGAGCCCACCTTGTGAGGCCCGGGTGGGCACTCCATGGTGCCAGCCCGCTGCTTCTTCTCACCTGTCCCCCCACCACAGCCCTTACTCACCAGCTGAGCCAACCACAATGGCCTTGAGCTTCCTCTTGTGTCTGGAGACAAGTAGAGAGGGGCTGGTGAGGGGGGCTGTGCAAAGCTGGCATCTCAGGCCCTGCCAGCCTCATGGCCATCTGGGAGCAGGTGGTAGACCCCATGAGGGCAGGGGTGTGGGACACTCAAAGGGTCCTGTAGTACTAGTTCATGAGGACCAAGAGTATGGCCAAGATGATTATCGCCATCTGCGGGAGCAGGGCCAGGGTGAGCCAGGGTGGCAGGAAGGGTAAGTGGAGCTGTGGGGTGGGGCCTCTGGGTATCTGCAGGGCAGACAGGTCATCCAGCAGCTGGACAGAGATGGTGGGCTGCATGTCCAGGACGTTGTAGATCCGGAAAAGATTCCACAGCTGCTCCTTGTTCTCGTCAATCATCTGGATCACCCTGGGCAAGGGGCAAGGGTCTCAGCTCTCCACTTCAGCCATTCCCCCCACAACAGTATGCTCTGCTCCTGCCTCAAGCCCACAAAATTCATCACCCCCAAGCCTTAAAAGATTGAGGTCCAACTGGCTGGGACAGCTTTGTGTTTTACAAGGTTCCTCGAACCTTCATGTAGTGATCCTGTTCCATCCTCACAGTGGATGAAATACTCCCCCTTTTTTTTTTTTTCTGAGATGAAGTCTTGCTCTGTCGCCCAGGATGGAGTACAGTAGTGCAATCTCAGCCCAATGCAATCTCCACCTCCAAGGTTCAAGCGATTCTGATTCTCCTGCCTTAGCCTTCTGAGTAGCTGGAACTACAGGTATGTGCCACCATGCCCAGCTAATTTTCGTATTTTTAGTAAAGACAGGGTTTCACCATATTGGTCAGGCTGGTCTCAAAATCCTGACCTCAGGTGATCCACCCAGCTCAGCCTCTCAAAGTGCTGAGATAACAGATGTGAGCCACCACCCGTGGCCTGAATATTCCCATTTTACAGATGAAGAGAGGAAGGCTCAGAGGAATGGAGTTGCTCATACCCCCAAACTCTGTCCTCTCTCCTAGCCCTGCACACTTCTGGGAGATGGCCCCACACAGTGGGCCTGATGATGTGGCCTGTGTCTCCTTTGGTGGGTCCCCTCCCCTAATCCAGGTCAGGAAGGCAAGCAGACAGACAGACCGACAGTCCAAGCACAGGTCCCTACTCACCGGTCCACGCTCAGGATGCGGTCGGTATCCCAGTTCACCATGTGGATGAGCAACTCTGTCTGAGCAAAGTTCACCTGGTCCTTCTTGTCCACATGGAACTAGACAGAAAGGGGCACTGTAGGCTGTGGCCACCACAGCAGGGGCCACAGGAATGGGCAGGCCACTTCTAGGAGCCCCTTCTGCCCTTCCCTGCAAATAGACCTCTCACTACTGAATATTTGCTGAGGACCAGGCTCGGTGCCAATCACTTCACCCACACTGGGCCAGGTGCTATTTATTTTTGGCTCCATTTTATGGAGGAGGAAACTGAGGCCCAGCAACCTGGGAGAACTTTGTCAAAGCCACACTGCTAGGAAATGACTAAGTGGGGCATATACTGCCTTTCATGCCCTGGCCTTTGCACAATGTCCTGTCTCTTTTTATGGTCTGGCCTCTCCTT